GTGTTTGTCTGTTTGCGTGTGTTGATGCCTTGTGTGTGTTGTGCACGGTGTGTGTGCGTGTAGGACATGAAGGAGCTTCTTGCAGAAGGCCAGCAGCTAGAGGAAGAGCTGAGGCAGATTGAGGATTATACACAGGAAAGCCGCCTAGCAAGATTGAGAATATGCAACAAAAGGCACACTGTATGTGATGTAGAAGTGTGTATGATGATTATGAATGTTTCATCCAGTGATGAGAAAACCCCAAAACCCCTTTATTTCATTTTTTTTTTTTTTTTTGCCTCATTTTCTTTTTCTTTATTCTCAACATTGCCCCTTGTTCTCCTCCCACCCCCCACTTCTCTAGGAAGTTGAGCAGCTTCGTCTGGAGAGAATGCAGATTGACGAACAGCTACGTCAGATCACCCAGGTTCATCGCCCGGGTGACAGGGAGAGAGGGGAAAGAGCAGGAGGAGGAGGCGGAGGGTATAATACGGATGGCAATGCCTCCTCCTCCTCTTTACATGGCAGCCGCTCCTACAACGGCCGAGGGCGCGGGCGCAGAGGCCACGGCTACAGCACCGGATATGGTAGGCACCTTTTTAAAATTGAAATACTCAAAAAAAAAAAAAAAGTAATTAATTATCAGGCTGCTGTTTAATTCCTCCCAGGCACCAACTCGGAGCAGTCCAACGCCTCTGAGACCGATTCAGAGCGCAAGGAAGAGCTGAGTGACTGGTCCCTTGCTGGAGAAGACCAGGACAGGTGAGCTTCTTTTTTTTTTTTCATTCTTTTCATACCTTTGTTGCCAGTCCAGCATGCGCACATTCGGTCAGTTGACTGATACATTGACCCACCGACTTGCAGGGAGAGAGAGAAAGGCTCACGACCCCAAAGAGACGCCCGCAGGAGGCCCGGACCCGCCAGGGGCCGAGGCGGGTTTGGAGTGCGGGGGCGGGGAGGAAGAGGAGGGTACAGCAACAGCTCTGGTGAGCAGAGACGGGGGCCCGGACTTCCATAGTCCTTCATATTAACCTTTGAGTCTTGTGAGGCAGCCTGAATGTTCCTCTTGTTGTGATAGTTGCAGTTTATTTATAACATCAAATCTAATATGATGGACTAGATTTCACTGTTTGTTTACGTCATGAGAGGAAATATTTAACTCTTTCTATTTATCTATGTTTTCAATAACACATGCATAAAACAAAGTAAGATTTAACAATCTTTTTGAAATAGCTGTTTTACCCTTTTGAGATGATATAGTTGATTGAAATTTCAGTAAATATGGTCAGGAACGAATTATTTTAATTCTTAATTTGGCAGTTTGATTTTTGATACAAGCCAGTTTCTCTAAATCTGGTTCTGCAGCAGGTCCTCGGGACCACGAGGATAACAATGCCTTCGGCGCTGCGGAGACCGAGACGGACCAGACGGCTGACACAGATGCCAGCGAGTCCAACTTGCCTGCAAACCGACGCAGAAGATCTCGGCGGCGCAGAACAGACGAAGAAGCCACACTGATTGATGGCATAAGCGAGTCCGACAACGCCTCAACGAGTGAGAACGGAATAGGTAGGGTGGTCACATCAGGACTTCCTCATGCACACACAAGCTGCACTGGATACATGTTAGCAAAATAGTCACAAACACTCAGTAAGAAACTCTCTGACATTCCTTCGAGCTTCCTGTTTTCATTGTTAGTGGAGCCGGTACTGTTCAAACACAGGTCTCCGGTTCAAAGGCAATTTGAGCGCCAAATCTCTCTCTTTGTGATTACCCAAACGTCTTTAGACGACTCAGAAGTCAAACCTCAGCGCCGCAATCGTAGTCGACGCCGCCGCATCCGCCTGCCCGAGGAGAGGCAGCCAGGTAACCATGGCAACTGCCAGTGTCCCCTCCCTGAGCAGTTCTCCTAACGGCTCGGCTCAAGGTTGCTCACCAGGCCGTTTTCTAAATACTCTGGTTTGTCTTTGTGTGACGGATAACTAAAACAAAAAGTTGTTTAAAAATTGCTATGATCTCTTTAACCACAAAGTAATTAAGTGTTGCTTGCTTTTGCTCAATGATTGAAGGTGATTGGTTGACTGACTGGCCCACACTGTGCACACAGGAATGCTGTGCAGTTTTAAAGAATGCATCTTCCTTTTTCTTTGTTTTGTGTGCCGTGTCATAGTAAGCTTAACCTCTAACTTACTTCCCTGTTGTGTTGGATGTCAAGTAAACTCGTGGCCTCCAGTTGGGCTTTGTGTTCTGCAAGAAGTTCTGATCAGAGAGTCTAAAAGTGCTGAAAAGCTCCTTTCAGGCTGTGAGACAGGATCAATTGGGAGGATCTCCAAACTCTTAGAGACCCCTGCTTTGCGCTACCGACCATTTTAACTATTACACCACAGGAGGTGTAACTTGTGAGATCAATATTGATGTCGGGTTTTGAAAGTGTCACAGCACCGGCGTGACACTTTGGCTTTTCCTTTCTGTTGTCTCGTGTGCACAGTGACGGTGGCTGACTACATCTCACGGGCGGATTCTCAGAGCAGAGAGACGCCGACCACTAAGGACACCAAGAAGAACATGGATGTGGTTAGTTTCTAAATGTCACTTGAATGTCACAGTAAACCTTCTGGATCGTTTGAAAAAGCAAACTTCTTCTGGTGTATTCGTTCGAACACAGTGCATTGCATGATCGTGCCCACACCTTTTTGTTCAGGGTCAGGTGGATGCCATCGCTGAGGACAGCCCACCATCGCCACCGGCGACCGCCAACGGTTCTGACAATGCTGCCGACACCGAGTGCAGCAATGGCCCCGGAGCTCCCGCCAAAGTCCCCTACCAGGGGGACGGAAGCCCCCAACCTGTCGCTAACGGACTCTCCTAGTCAGACCTGAGCAAAGGAAAGGGTTTCAAATATTTTGATATTTTTTGGCTGCACTTCATTTAATCTGCGTGTCTCTGGAGCAGCCTGAAAATGGAGACGTTTCAACACAACAAGCACTGTTCTTCTTTTACTTTACAAATATTTGAAACCAGTTCCAGTGCACACGTCTTAGACACCGTAACCTCCCCTTTACACAAGTGTTCTGTCCAGCTATTCATTTTACTCCAGGTTTCTTTTTCTTTTTTACAATAGTTCTTCCTGTATGAGCTTGCCAAAGATAGTCAAACACACACAGAGCCACAGACGTCTACGTAACTGTATTTTTCGGTCCACTCTTCATTGAGAGCTCAGGGAGAGGTGGTGACTGAGACAGGGAAATGAACCCATACCAAGCTATGAATGCATTGGTTCTTTTTTATCAGTAAAAATAAGATCACAGCAGGATTTTAGACTAGAAGCATGTCTGCCTTCTACCAGGTAGACTCAGAAAGATGCTTCCACAACCTTTTTCAGGATGTCAACGTGCATCTGAAGTAGTTTGTAAATTAAATCTTCTGCATAGGCAGTACCACAGTACAGATACAGGTTTGTTGGAAACCCGAGTATGTTTGACATACATGTGATCATCTGTTGTGCCTTGAGAGTAGATTCAACATGTTGTTGCCTGGCTCTGCACACCGTCTGAAATTGTTTCACTTATTTCTGTGTAAGGCGGTCGTCCTCTCTGCCACAGTCGAACCAGATGAGCGTGTGCTTAATGTTTCCTCACGGCAGCGTACGCAGGTGAAGACAAACACTGAAAGACCCTGAACAGATTTCAGAGGCAAATCAGGTGTGTCTGTTCATTATGTTTGTGGGGAGACTGAGTCCAGTTATTCTATATATATCTATATAGATATATATGTTTATATCTCCTGTTGAGTTTGACATTAGCTGCTTTCTGTTTTTTAAATATGCAACCACTTTGGTCATACAAATATACAGTGTGTCTGGAAAAAAAAAAAACTAAAACGTATAGAGCTGTTTTCTTTGCACTGAAACAAAACCTATTTTCTGTTAAAAAGTTGATTGTAGTCGAGTCTGGAAACGGGCTGTTAGTGTTGCTGCTGGGAAGAGATGTAGCCGTTCAGCGCCGGGTTTCCTGCAAACATCTCATTGCTGAACAGCGAGTACTCACTCATTCATCACATGAATGAAAAGAGGGATAATGAGAGGTTTTTCTTCAAGAATTCGAGCTAAATGAAGAGAAAATCTTTCTTTGGTTGAGATGTTTCTGGAAAGCCAAGCCCAGGTGACGATGTCATTTTCATGGTTCTTCCACAGACTGGCTGGCTGGAAACTGGTCACGACTGTTCCAGTAAGGAAGATTTATTTGGTTTATTTATTAAAGAAATGTACAGTATTTAAAAAAAAAAAGGCAAAAACAAGAGAAGCTGTTCTTTTTCTTGACACTAAAATATGCGTTAACTAGGGTTTTCTTTTGAGACAAATGAAAATTTGGACTACTGAGAGTTGTTACATCCCCAAGTGTTTCTGTTGGGTCAACTACAGTACGTTTTGTTTTTTAAAGGATCATTCTGGTTGGTTGATGTGCAATATGTTTTGTATGCAGGTAGTTCTTAAATAAACTTGATCTTCCATGTAGATCTAAAACTGAACTGTGTCAGAATCTCTTGTGAAAAATAGTAATATACAGAGCCTCAAGTCTCCTATAATCATTTCATCACGTCAAATCCTAATACGCTTCATGCCATTAGTTATAGTTCAGTATGGTTTTATTAGTGGTTGCAGGGCCAGCTGAAGTATAAGGGAACTACAGGGAAACAATGCATTGATGAATTCCAGCACAATTTAACATCGGCTTCGTTTTCACTGTTCTTTTACAGTTAGAGTAATAATCAAGGCTATAAAAACAAAACTGCTTCTTCCTTGTGAGAACGGATGAGATTTGGTTTGTGTGTGCGTGCTTGTCCATTCTGGATCTACTCCGGTGTTCCAGTAGTGCATTTTTTTTTAAATTTCAATTTGTTTTTAAAAGTGAACAAATGTACACGAGTGAAAGAGTCAACACTTTAAAAAAAAGGGACTATTGGTTAATGATAAGTACACAAAATGAATGTAAAATGTAGCTTAATAATGGAGAATGCCAGTAACAACTTGTACAGCATGAATTTAATTTGACAACAATCAGTTAGAAATCCCTCCAGTCGGGTCAGTGCAAACGGCTTGGATAAGAGCGGTGAGCCATCACGTTTTCGCCATTGCCGGCATCTTCACTTCTTTGTCTGGGCATCCAAGAAATCCTTGGCTTCGTTTATCTTTGCTGCTATGTAGGGAGATCCACCTGACACACACACGTTTTAGAAAAACAAACAAATTATTAATTTTATTGGCAATTATGCAGCATAAAACCTGTTAATGAGTGTAGCCGTTACATTTCTATATAAAATACAAAACATTACACTTCCAGCCTGGCAAATAAAGTAGTTTGAGTGACATGTCATGCACAACCTACAAAGTAGTCTGCTCCGCCCGTCTGGAGCACTTTATTGTGACGTACAATGTCTACGGGACCTGATGGGGAACGTTCAATGCCTCACTCACCTCTATCTGGATGGTTCAGGATCATCAGCCTTCTGTGTGCCTCTTGGATCTTCGTCCTGTTGGCCGTGGGACTGCAACACGGAACGGTGGTACCACAGGGAATTAGTCAGAATAATTAGCGGGAATAGTAAACTATCGTGTAACTGGTGGACCTCATTGAGGCTCAGTCATGAGTTACCTGACACCTAAAACCAGGGAAGCTTCTCTCTTTGACATCTTTGGATCAAATCCACCTCGGTAGTACCCTCCTCCAAAAGCCTGCAGCACGTAAAGTACAAAACTCAACAATGATGGGACTGCCTCCTGACCCGTAATGGCAAAAGACTGATGGAAAGGAAAATCAAAACATTTGGAGATAAACTCACTGGGTTCCTTCTTACCGTCTTAGGGAAACTCTGAAGGGCCTGTTTCATCTGAGGCTCCATCTGCCTCATGGCCTGCATGGCATAGCGACCTGACGGAGATGAGGGGAAGCATTTTTACCTCAAAAGGAACATTCGTGGATTTATCTTCATCCATTAACGTAAGCATTGATACTGAGCGTTATCTGTGTTGGGATGTGTCAAAAGACATTTTATTTTGTGTTACTATATGACAAATGTATGGAAAACCACATATAAAGTGATGAACCGTCTTGCACAGATTTACATTACATAACTTACTTAATGAAAAGTTTAAATAATAGGCATATAAGAATACTAATACATTATTATTTATATTATTTCCCATCCGGTATCAACAGTAACTTGGATTGTTGAAGGTTTTTTTAAAAACACTGCTCGTGAGGTGCTGCGGGTCAGATCGATCACATGACCAACAGAAGCGTCAAGGTGATTGGACCTTGACCTCGATGCTCACTTTTCATCGGTTACCTGCAAATCCAGCTGCTGCCAGAGCCAGTCCCACTGCCACCATGGAACTGGCCTGGGGTTTGACAGAGAGAGAGAGACATAAAAACAACACGATTAAGACGCACATAACATCACCCGCACCGGCTCACACAGCGTCATCCCGGAGCAGCGTAAACACGCACCACGTGGCACAAGTGTCCCCTAATGTGAAGCCTTAGCAATTAGCATTAGCTGCTTCTGCTTCAAACCAGCACCGCTGATCCCTTTTAACCGCGCGATACAGACGCTGAACGCGTCGTGCGGGCTCGCGCACATTCGGGTGAAGCTAACGTTAGCTTAGCTGTTTGCAATGAACGCCTATGGAGCTTTTCGGCATCCTGCTGATTTCCCGAACAGTTACAGCAGTGACCCTCCAGTCAGCAGATAACACGTCCGACCTACCATGTCTGTTCGCTACGTTCCGTGTCTGTTAACGGTTCGGATCATAACTTTTGACCTCTCATGTTTTCCTCGCTCGGGTGCGCATGTGTTTGTGCCGGAAATGGCGGAGAAGTGTCGTAAAGCGTTGACATCAGCTGGTCCCCTCTCCGCCTGTCCTCACGCGTCTGATTGCCCAAAGTTACGGGAGAAGAGTTTCTTGCGGTATTTAAAGCATTATTTAATTCCTTTATTGAAATCTTGTTGACATTTTAGATACTGTAGTGTCAGTGTCACGAGATATTTAGTGCTATTTAATTGTTGCATGTGCTGTTGTAATATAAACAAAAAAGCTGCATCTTAGAGCACAGGAATGCATAGGGATTACAGCAGGTAAATTAACAATGTAAAGCTTTTTATTTTTGTTAAAAAGTGGCCACGTGTGTTGAAACATGCAGTGTAAAATGTTCAAAGAACCTTTTCTTGTCAGATACACTTCAATGGTGCAGATGATTGGCTCTTCATTTGAGACTTCAAATAAAAAGTGAGTGAATTTATGTGACCAACTTTAGTGTAACGCGGTTATGTCGGCACACAGGAAGAATCCAGGCCTGTGAAGGTAATTGTCTTCTTTTATTTTTATAAAATATACCAATTGGTCTTGATTTGACTTTTAGATATTGAAATGATTTTTGTGTGAATGGCGGTAGTATTTCAAATTCTTATGAGCATGATCTTGGCAGATGTTTGGTTCAATGGAGACAACACAGGTCTGGAAGTGAATTTGCACTATTTTACCTGCGAGCGCCACCTGTATGTTACACCGATACGAGCAGCTCCGCGGCCAAACCGCGCTGCCTGTACTGTACGTTTATTGTAATCAAGCAAGAGGGCGAAGGTGTGTCATCAATTAACTCATCAGGTCATTAAGCAAAAGCAGCTGGTCTGTAAAGGCTGACTCTTTTTCCACAATTGTGCATCGCGTAGCAGGAGGCCTCTGGATGAACAACACCTGTCTGCTGCAGTGACATGCAGCTCTCCCAGAGCTGAAGCGCAACCTGCTGCTGTTGCCGCCGCCGCCGCCGCCGTGTCACACGTGAGGCGATGGCTAGTTCCAGGACAGGAGGTGCTGTGAACATCTGCAGGCTGGCAGTAAGGAGCCATTTAAAACGCGAACAGGCCCCGCTGTGTCTCTCCTACGGTTGGACCGAACCACGGCAGCAGCTAACACAATGGGACAGCGAAGGGCCTAATTATTGCCCCTATCATTTGCATAATTACAATGTTTTTTTTTCTGAGGCAGGGGCAGTATAGAAATTGTAAATTGTGTTGGACCCGCTGTCTCTCCTTACTGGAAGTCATATTTGAATGGAGAGAGCCTGTTCTGCTAGCCAGGCAAGCCAGGCGCAGGCAAGAGGTCCCAATCAGCCAGCCTCACAGACCGCTCATTCAAAAGGATTTAAAAAGCCAACTGTGTGGAGAAATGAGAGTTTTGCCCCCCCAAATCATATGGAATTACAGTGCTGGTTGCATATGGGGGGAGCCAGCGGCAAGCACAAAAGCCCACAGGAAGCAGCTATTTCTGTGTGTTTTATTAACCCAACCAAGCAATTTAATTCTTTTGTTCGGGGGAGTTCTACTTCATTGATTAACAAAAGCGGGGATATAATTTTTTCAGCCCCTTTTGAAAAGCCTGAAATGTCAAGCCTTTTAAAGGAGATTATTCTGCCTGTGTGCGATGAATAGAGCCCAGAGTAACCTTTTGTCTACAATTAAATATTCCAGCATAAATATAAAAGAAAATCAGAGATGGGGAAGATTGAGTCAGGAGAGATTGGAGAGGTAGATCCTCTGCCCGATAGTGGCAACAGCCTGGCTCTAATTAGATATGCCAGGCGGGCTGCGAGCAGTCACTCTCCACAGCACGCCGAGAGAGGAGGCAGCCTGAGAGACGAGGACAGAGGAAACCTATCGGCTCATCTGTCTGTCCAGCGCCTTCCTCTGGGCATCCACAAGGTATTTCAGGAGGCTTTGTTTTGTTTTGCTTCTCACCGTTTATTTGTTTTTTCCCCGACATCTTTGCCACCGGAGTGGGGGGGCGTCCATAAGGCAATGCCTTCTGGGAACTGCATAAATGGAGAGGGCTGAATAGGCAAGAAAGTTGTGTGATTGTTTATGATTCTGAGGAGCGATTAGGAATGACAATAAGATGCTTCAGGGACGGAGAGGTTTTTTTTTTTAAATATTTTTTTCACTCAGGTGGTAGACTGTGAGGCTGCCTGGAGGCGATGAAGAGCGATGATAATGAAGTTCTGATCATGAAGGGCGGCATTTGATGTGTTTTGTCAGTTGCAATTGTGTTTCCCTTGTGCACTGAAGAGGCGGAGATGTATGCGGGCCGAGGTGATCTGCATGCTTTGGCGTGACCCTGTCGTCATCGTTGCTTATGGAAAGATTTGGCTCATGATAAAAGTTAGTTGACTAGTTGATCGTAACTTTCCGAGCCGGTCTTTGTTTGCGGTTTGGTGAAATGTCATCTTTTGTTACGTAACTCTTTCTCCCACAAAACCTTAAAGGAGGTGAAACAGGAACTAAACTCTGCTCAGTTTGGACTGGGTGCTGCTTCGCTGTGTCAGGCTTTGATGGATAATGCTGTGACCTCCTGTCAGTTCATTATTTTGACTTCATGAGGACGACTCGTCTCTCAATAGACGTGATGCTCCTTTTGATACGTTCATGCACATTCTTAACTTTTTGACTATGCTCATACTTCACCTTCCACCTTTTTAACATCGATAATCTTTCTCTTTATGTTGTCTTTTATATTATGATTAGTTTACAAAACCTTTTGTCCCTTACTATAATCTGGATTGGTCACATTAAGCAGATATGGCTTTTTAATTACTTTTAAGTTGTAAGGAGTTTGTATTGATTTTTTTTAAGGGGCGTTTTTCAACAAGATCCCCTGAAATGAATTTAAACTTAAGTAAGAAAAAACAAATATCCTTTACGTTAACCTTTTATTAGAGATATTTGTATAAAACTGGTCTTGCATCATCATAGAGTTGCTGTTGTTTTTCGTGAGAAATTCTGATTATATATGAAGATGGGAGACTGAAGAAAAGAGATGAAAAGCAGTCTTTGGTGGTGAGAGTCTTGTGCTCTACTTCAGTACATAGAACAGACCACAGAAGGACAACTTCTCTTTGAACTTATCTCTGAAACTACAAAGAGTGTATTTTACCAGAACCTTCAGCAGCCTCAACATTCCTCTAAAACCTTTCCATCTTAAGCTATGCTCAAGGTATTCGACTTGGAACTGATTCTTATGTCATATTTTAGTTTTTAATAATTAAAATCCCTCAAACAAAACTTTTTCAGCATTTACTTTCCAGTGTTTGAGATCTAATTTGCATATTATAAACAGCTGCAAAACGTTATGTAAAAGTCCACAATGTGATGTCATACTATGCATTCATTGGGGTTTTAAGTTCCTTTTAAGAATAAGTCCCTGCATCACCTCAGAGATTTCTCTCTAACTGTTTTTTTGGATTCCTACGAGAGTCCCCCAGTCCCTCCCAACCTGGGATTTATGTTAGATTTATTCAAATTTATTACATCAAGATTTTGTGCTTTTTATAGTGGGACAGAATATGTTGATTTGTCAAATCCAATAGAATATAAAATGTGTATTGCTTTAACCCCAAATTGTCAATCACCTGACATTCCACCTACCGTCTGTCATGTGCTGTAACCGTTTAACCCAAAACCCAAATACACTCATTTTTAACCCCATTCCTCACCTGTACTTCATCTTAATTCTAATCTCAGCCCTAAACCCAAGTGTTAATCCTAAACACTAACACTCACAGACACACACACACACACACACACACAAGCTCAAATCTAATGTCACCTCTATCCAGCAGCCTGTTTTCCCCCCAGAGGGCTTTATCAGAGCTGTGGAGGGCTGATTGGAGGAGGCAGCAGTAATGACTGCAGGTCGTGAGGTCCCCACCCTGTTATGATAACTAAACTCTGAGGTCAAACGCCTAAACTGCAACGTGCTGTGCCTGCTGATGGTGCCTGATAGCAGCAGATGAACATTGCTTTGTTACTTTAATGTTTAAATCAAAATTCATCGCTTAATGGAATTCCATTTTTGATCAGTTTTCAATGTCACCCAGCAGCCGACCGCTCCCAACAAAGACCTCCCAGTATGAGCATTTCTTTACCTTTAATGTAAAAATGTTATTCTTATTTTATATAATAAATTGGAATGGGTGTGTGTATATATGTAATAAAAACCTAGATGTGATAGTGGTAGTTTTGAAGTGGCTTAGTAAGGTTTATTAACATTTTGTAAACTTGATTAATTAAAGTAAACTTCTCAAACTATTTATATTCGTGAGACTCCGGCCCCAATCCCTGCTCTCTATTTCACATCACTAAGTTTTGCCGACTTCTTTCTGGCTCTACTTTTAAAACAAACAGTTTTGAGCTTGTTCAGGTCCAGGTTGTTGTGACCACATCAGATGACCAGCTGGTCCACCACGTGTCTGCAGAGGCCGGTGCTCGCGGTGACCCTGGGATGATGGTGTACAACGCCATGCTAGAGAACCATGTTCCTGGTGCTGCAGCATGTGGTCCCACGTGGACGGAATCGCAGGGGCCCTTTGACGTTCGTCATGTAGGTCTACACCAGCTTCTCCAAGGACTTTGTGACCACAGACATCAGGGCCACGGGCCCCGTAGTCCTTTAATCCTGTGGAGGAGGATTTCTGATGGTGATGATGATGGTGGAGGGTTTGGTTGGTGGTGATGATGGCGGAGGGTTTGGTTGGTGGTGATAGGTTGGAGATCAGCATGAAGGTGCCAGCTGGTCAGTGACACTGGGCCCGGAGCCTTCCTGATCTCATTCTTTAAACTAAAGCAGACTGGTGCGTGTGAAGGAAGACCGTTATTTTCACATTTGTGACGATTTCAACGTTTGTTGCCTTCCAGTACGACGTTATTTAACAAAGCTTGTTTAAAATGTAGTGGGGAACCACCAACACCACACATGTTCATTTTGTGCGCGTGTTTTTGCATCCTCCCAAACACACACCTGCACACACGCACACGCAGGCTCACAGGCAGCCGTGCTGGTAGTCAGACCTGCAGTCGATAGGGGCAGACTGACTT